TCTCCCTCCTTGCTGTTTCCCTTCCTAGTAATAGGCCACCAGTGCAGTTGTCCCTGCAGCCCTGGGTGACCAGGGCTGATCTTTAGGTCAATTCTCAGGACCCAACGCCACTTGGAAATATTCAGGCTGTTGGTCCCATCAGAGTAGCTGACAGTCCGCAGCTCTGACTGTCTCTGTACTCACTGTTTTCCTTCAGGTTTTTCCACTAGTTGGTGCCTAATCCACTTCTGCATAGTTCCTTTCAAAGCTCAGGGCTCCAGGATTATCTTCTGTACCTCTGTCAACTGTTTTTTCTTCTCTTTGTTGAAGAGGCTCTGTGTCACTTGTCTGCCTATTCCTCCATCTTACTGGAAGTCTGATCCTGCCCCTTTTTGATCATCATTTGCTTGATATATTTTTTCCAACCTTTGATTTTTAGTTTATTTTTGTCTTTGTGTCTAAAGTGTATCTCTTGTAGACAACATATTGATAGGTCATGTTTTCTTATTCATTTCTCAGCTCTGTGTCTCTTGATTTTGCATCTAATCCACATACATTCATTGTAGTTATAGACAAATATGAATTTATTGCTGTCATTTTGATATGTTTGTATGTGTGTGTGTGTGTGTGTGTGGTATTACTGATTTCTTTGTTCCATATAATTTTCTGTGCTGAGCTCATATTGTTTATGATTTTTTTAAAAATCATTTCTTTAATTGGTATTGTTTGAGCATTTGCTAAATACTTGTGCCTTTCCCCATTTTTATTTAGATGAGAGCATTTATTAATTTCTTTGAGGTTGTCCTATGATTTATTATTTTCTCCCAACTTTAAAATAGTTAATTATATCTTGAAATATTCTTGACTTCCTCTCCATATATAAACCTTTACTTGACTTTTTACAATGATTAACTAATACAATATTTGTCTTTCTGTGATTGACTTATTTTATTCAGCATAATGTCCTCCAAGTTCACCCACATTTTGCAGTGTTTTGCATATTCTACATTATTCTTTAGTGTTGCATAGTATTCCATTGTATGTATGTACCATATAGTTTGGTTATCCAAGCTCTGTAACTACACTATTTGTTCCTTCTTTTTGCTTTGTAGCTGTTCTCATTTACCAATTGATGTCGGTGGATCCCTGTTTTCAGTCTTGTAAATTTATTTTACTTTGGATACTTCCATAAATGAGTTGGTTTCTGGGTTATATTGTCATGTGTGTTAATCATAGGTTGTTGTCTGCATTGTTGGTTCTCCGTCTGTAGGACTCCCTTTAGCATCTCATGTAAGATAGGTCTGAGTTTTACAAATTCCCTTAATTTCTGTTTTTCTGGAAATGTCCTAATTTCTCCATCATATTTGAAGGACAATTTTGCTAGGTATATAATTATTGGTTGGCAATTTTCTTCTTTCAAGGCTTCGTATATGTCATCCCATTGCCTTCTTTCCTGTATAGTTTTTGCTGAGAAATCAAAGTTTAGTCTTATTGGTTGCCCTTTTTAGGTAACTTTTAGTTTTTATCAAGTTGCTTTCAGGATTCTTTGTCTTTGGTTTTGGAAAGTTTGATTATGATCTGTCTTGTTGATTTTCTTTTGGCACCTATCCTGTTTGGAATTCATTGAATTTCTTGATTCATTTCTTGAATTCATTGCATATCTTTTTGTCTTTCATTATATTAGGGAAGTTCTCTTCCAAGAAACCTTTGACAATTTTCTCTGTAGTTTTATTTGTCTCTTTCTTTTGTGAAATACTGATCACACATGTTATTCCTCTTGATGGTGTCCCAAATAAATCTTAGGCTTTCTTCATTATTTTTGTTCTTTTTCTCATTGTTCTCTTAACAAAGTAGTATTGAGAGATTTGTCTTCAATCTCAAATTCTGCCTTCCATTAATTCAATTCTACTCATTTGCCCTTTCAATATATTGTCTATTTCTGAAATCTTAGTATTAATCTTCTGGATTTCTATTTGCTGTTTTTCTATTTGCTTCCTGATTTTTCATTTATTTTGTCAGTTTGTTCCTGTATTGTTTCCCAAAATGATTCTACAATTTTGCCTGTATTTTCCTTATTTTTTTCAGAGTTTTCCTTTATTTTGACAGTGTTTTTCTTGATCTGTCTCTCAATCTGTTGAAGGTACCAATATAATTCTTTTGAATTCTTCATCGAGTAGTTCCAATGCCACTTCTTTCTCAGGGAGGTTTTCTGCCTTTGTATTCTGGTCCCTCATTTGTACTAGTTGATCTTACTTCTTTGTTTTAACTGGGATTGTTAGTTGTCTCTGAGACATTGTGATGTCATTGTATTTATATTTAATTGGTGGTTTATGTTGGTGTGATTTGTCCAGGTTTTTTGTTTGTTTGTTTTATTTTCCTTTGATACATCCAAATGAGCAGGACTTGTGTGCTACTCTATTCAATAGTTTGGCAGCACTTAGGCAGTCACCACCTGTCTCCTAGTAGGTGTGATAAAGGATGAGAATGTGTGCATAAATTTCTGTTAGCTGTTTGTATAGAACAGCTAGGGTAGGTTGGGCTGGTATTGACCACTGTCCATCACTGATCAGTTGCTGCAGAAGTACGTAGTGGCCCTCACCCAGTAGGTGGGGTTGTAGGAGGTATGAATGTGGTTGTGTGGATACAGTTGTTGTCTCCCATCTTTCTAATCACCAGCCACCAGTATGGTTGTCCGTGCAGTTCTCAGCAAGTGGAGATGATTATCAGGTTGCTTCTCTAATTGGAATGTTGCTTGCAAATACTCAAAATGGCCACACCATCAAGCTAGTCAACAGTCCATAGCTGCTTGTTCTCTGCTTTCATTCAGTTTCTTCTACTAGTCAGTATTTGATCCACTTCTTTTTCCTTCCCTTTGAAGCTCAGGGTCCCAGGATTATCCTTTGTATCAACTGGTTTCTCATTCCTTTGCTGTAGAGCATCTCAGTAGCTTGTCTACTTATTCCACCATCTTGCCAGAACTCTCCATAGGGTTTTTAATGGATGGTTTTTCAAAAATAGATCACCAGATCTTTCTTCCAAGGTGTCTCTGGGTAGACTTGATCCTCCAAACTTTCAGTTAGCAGCCAGTGTGTTAGCTGTTTGCACCACTCCGGAACTCCTTTTCTGGGTGTGTGTGGGTGTGGGGGGGTACTCACTGCCATTGAGTTAATTCTGACTCGTAGTAACCCCCATTGGGTTTCTGATGCTGTAAATCTTTATGGAAGTAGATCACCTCATCTTCTTTCCATGGAGCGGCTGGTGGGTTTAAACCACTGAGCTTCTGGTTAGCAGCCAAATTCCTCATCCACTACACCACCAGAGTTCCTTTCTTTCAGGAAAGCAGTGTCAAAAACAGGTTCAAGCTGAGGTCAGAGGAACAAGGAGAAGGTGGGACTCATTGGTAGTGTATAACTAACTGCAGAGGTCCTGAGATATGTCTGTGAACCCAGGCTGGAGACCTGGGCAGGTCCTGTCCTCTCTTGAAGGCTGTTTCCTCATCTGTGAAATGGGTGCACAACTTCAACAAATAGTATTGTTGGAGGAGTCATGGGTAGAATGTACATGACTCAGTGCAGAGGAAATACTGGCTTCTCAGATTGGCTTTGTTGTTGTTAGCTATTGTCAATTAAGTCCCCAATTCATTGTAGTCCCATGCACAACAGAGTGAAACACTGCCTGGTCCTGCACCATCCCTATGATTGTTGCACATCAGATTGTTGTTATATATAGAGTTTTCATTGGCTGATTTTCAGAAGTAGATTGCCAGGCCTTTCTTCCTAGTTCATCTTAGTCTAGAAGCTCCATTGAAACCTTCTAACTATTTTAGCAACATGCAAGCCTCCATTGACAGAAGGGTGGTGGCTGTGCATGAGGTGCATTGGCCAGGAATTGTACCCAGGTCTTCCACATGGAAGGCAAGAATTCTACTGAGAGGCTGAACTAGTAGGTATGTCTATGAAGTGGGGTGTGTACCCAAGAACATGTATAGGGTTGGCAGACAATGGTCTATTAAGTTTATGTGTATGATTTGAATTCCCAGGTGTATAGTAGAGCTGACAAGAGGCAAGGTGGTAGTCACTGCTTGGTCACAGCCAGCTACCCAGAGGGACCGAGTAGTTGAACCTGTGGGCTCAGGACCATAGTCGCAGGGGACATCAAGCTCAATTGGCATAACATACTACACAAAAACATTGTTCCACCTCCTACTTTGGCAAGTAGAGACTGGGATCTTAAAAGCTTGCAAGCTGCCACCTAGATGCAACAACATCTAGATGTCTCTCCTTGTCCAGAGCAAAGAAGAATGAAGAAAACCAAAAATTCATGGATACAATCAGTCCTAGCAACTGGTACACCATCTGATCTGCAGCCTATATGACTATGAGACTAGAAGAACTAGATGGTGCCTGGCTATCACTGTCATCCACTTGGAAGGGGATCTATGTAGGAAATCCTTGATAGAGAGGGAGAGCAATGTGGACAGAACTCAAAATCATTTGGGGAGAAAAGAAAAGGGGGACCAGGTTTGCTGGTCCAATAGAGACTGGTGGAATCGCTGAGACTATGGCCCCTAGATGCCTGTCAGATCTGGAATTGAACCCACACCTGTGGCTTCCAGCCAAGCAAAAGACAGGCATATGAGTTGAACATTTACCTGAGATAGATACACTCCTTGGAGAGAACAATCATGGGAGAAAGAAGGGCTGCTTATGCACAGGGAGACAGTTCAGAGGGCAAGAGTGTATGGAGGGATGGACATAGGGAAGAGGTAATTTTCGGAAGGAAGTGAGAGGGGAGCTATTGCATTGTGGTAAATTGTGGTCAATGTCATGAGACAGAGTGTATGTGAACTGCTGTATGGAAAGTGAATTTGCTCTGTAAATCTTCACCAAATCACAATTAAAAAAAAAGAAAAAAAAGAATTCTAGCACTGAATCACCACTTCCCTCTCAGATTGGCTCTGGGGAGGGTTAACCTTGAGGTTTACCATTGTCCTTTGGGCTCAAGACTCTCTCTGTCTGCAGGACATCAATGATAACCTGCCTGTCTTCAACCAGTCCAGTTACTCCTTCTCAGTGAAGGAAAAAGATCCAGGTAAGTCCTCCCTGGCCACAATGTGTCCTCTGATTCTTCACAAGGAGGGTCTGTAGTACCAAAAGGAGGAGTTGGCAGTGGAGGCCTCTGATGGCCAGGGTCTTCTCTCTGTCTTCATCTACAGGAGCAGTGGTGGGTGTGGTGGTGGCCTGGGATGCAGACCAGACAGAAGCCAACAACCGTATCAGTTTCAGCCTGTTAGGAAGTGGCTCCAACAACTTCATGCTCCGAGGCTCACTGTTAAGTTCTGGGTTGGCTATGGGCCACCTCCAGCTGCCCAGGGATGTGAGTCTAGACAAAGAGACACAGGGCCCCTTCAATCTGATAGTGACTGCCATGGACCCAGACCCCCAGGCTGAGACAACAACAACTGTCCTTGTGACTGTGAAGGATGTGAATGATGAGCCACCTACCCTGGACCTGGCCTCACTTCAGGGCATCCGTGTGGCTGAAAATGGCTCACAATATGGCCTGGTGGCTCAGGTGATTGCTGAGGATGTGGACACCGATGCACAGCTGGAGATCCAACTTATGAATGTCATCTGTACCAAGGCAGGGGTTGATGTGGGCAGCCTGTGCCATGGCTGGTTCTCTGTGGTGGCCAATGGCTCTGTGTTCATCAATCAGAGTAAGGCCATTGACTATGAGGCCTGCGACCTGGTCACTCTCATTGTACGAGCCTACGACCTCATGACAGACTTCCGCTTCCAGGCCTACAGTGACAATGGTAAGGTGGTCAGGCCTGCAGGACTTGTCAGGCTGCAGTTCAGGGACAGTGTGAAAGAGCCCTGGGTTGGGACCCACAGGTCTGGTTTCAAATCAGCTTAGATTCTTGCTCAGCAGTATCATGAAACAAGTCATAATATCTCCCCCAGCTTCAGTTTCCCTGTATGTCAAGTGGAGTTAGGTAGTAGGTTGTTTGTGAAGATGAAAGGAGAATATACATGTAAATATGCATTTAATGCAGTGCCTGGCACACAGTAAGCACTTAATTGATGCTATTGTTTTGTGAGGTAGTGTAAAGGAAAGAGCACACTTCAGAGTCAGAGAGACCTGAGTTAATATCCCACCTCTGACACCAAATAACAATAAATCATCAGCTGCCATCAAGTTGACTCCAACTCATGGCAACCCCTGTGTGTCAGAATAGAATTATGTGCCATAGAATTTTTTTTCAAATATATAAAACGTTTTTATATTCTCTGAGTTTTTTCTTTTCCAATCTTTTATTTCAAGTTTTTACATGTATATTTCAATGATATCTATAGGTTTCTCAATGGCAGATATTCAGAAGTAGATCACCAGGCCTTTCTAGACACCTTTGGGTGGACTTGAACAACTATCGTTTTGATTAGTGATTGAATGCATTAACCATTTGTACCATCCAGGAACTCCAAATAACAATAGTAGCCATATTAACAACTAGTATATATTGAGTCCTTACCATAGCCAAGAATTATGCCAGGCACCTTGTAACCCTCTCACACAATCCGGGAGGTAGGTAGTCCCTATCCAATTTTATAGATGAGAAAAGTGAGGCACAGAGTAGGCAATTAAATAACCAGCTTACACAGCTAGCAAGTGTCAGTGTAATGTCATGGTCAGGTGGGACATATCTGGGCTGGGCTCAGTCCTGGTCCAGCACTTTCGTTGTGTGAACTTGAACAAGTTACCTGCTTTCTCTGAGGTCTGGGAATGATACTCCCTTCCACACAGGGCAGAGAAGTTGAGTGGACATCCTGGGGTCAAGAGCAGGGAAAGGGATCAGTATATATGCATGGGAAGGAGACTGCAGGGTGTGTGGTTGAATCCCAATCTCCCTGGTTCAGGTCTCTTTCCAGAACCCAAAGCCAATCCACTTTGTCCCCCTAGGAACCCTTCTCATCACCATTGAGGATGTGAATGACAATGCACCCTATTTTCTACCTGAGAATAAGACTTTTGGTAAGCAGCAACTATGCAATCCTCCCCCCACACACACGCATCCTGATTCACCAGGACCACCCTGGGGCAGTCCCTGCAGACCCTCCTCAGGTCCCAGGTGTGCTCTTAGAAATGGAGGAAGAGCTTCAATCCTGCTTCACTCCAGGGTTCCAACAGGAGGGGAAACCTAAGTTTCCACCCTAGCTCTGTGTCAACTCATGTCTGACCCTGGGCCATGTTCTCTGGGCCTCAGTTTCCCAATCTATACAATGGGAGTTAGATGATGTGCTAAATTAGGAATAGTTGCACTGGGGTCTCTAGGGTTGAGCCCTGAGCTGGGCTGGTGGGCACTGCCCCTGCCCTCACTAACCCCTTTCTGTCCACACCTATAGTGATTATTCCAGAACTTGTGATGCCAAACCAGCAAGTGGCTTCTGTCCAGGTAAGTCTTTGGCTCTACCTTTTGGTGGCTGACAGTCACATTAGCCTCAGGAGATACAGGGCTAAGGTTTTTGGGTCTTTCAGCCGCTCCCAATATGTTTTAACACTAGAAAGGAAATTTATTGGCTTCCACATATGAAAAGAAAACCCCAGAATAGAAATTACCACCTGCCTAAATGGTGTGATCAAACTTCATTAATTGTTAAATTCAGTATTCATAAAAATTTCATGAATATAAAAACCACTTGCAAGCCACATTTTTTTCTCACTACATTGGAGTTCTTGAGTGTTACAGAGAAAGCATAGCCAATTATAAATTAAATGAGTTCATTGTAGCTAAATTATTTCCATAGCAAAATTATAAAAATGCGTTTATGGTATTGGGTTTGGGTTTATTAGAGAGTGGCAGCTATGCTATTCAGGAGGTTAGCCCTCTCACACAACTTGGGAGCCTTTTCCTGTACTGCTACCTTTCTCTGGGACTCAGTTTCCCCTCCTGGGAAAAACCCAAACCCATTGCCATCAAGTCAGTTCCAACTCGTAGCAACCCCGTAGAACCAAGTAGAACTGTCCCATTGCATTTCCAAGGCTCTTTATGGGAGCAGACTGCCTCATCTTTCTCTTGTAAAGTGGCTGGTGGGTTCAAACTGCTGAACTTCCAGTTAGCACTGAGTGCTAAACCACTGTGCCACCAGAGCTCCTTCTCCTTCTGGACAAGAAGCTAGTAAATCAGATTCACTGGTGACACTAGTTCTCCACAGTTAGGACGAAGAGGCAGGGTGATCTCTGGGTTTCACCCATATGCTGTGGAAAGAGCAGAGGTATAGGAGGTTGACAGGCCTGGCCCTTCCCACTTAGAGCTGAGTGTGTCCTTGTGCAGGGCAGGGTCTCTCTGGAGCCTCCATTTCCTCTTTTAAAATGAAGATAGTAATTGTCCCTCTCTGGGTTTTCCAAGCAGTTCCTGGTGGTGCAACCAATTAAGCGCTACTGACTGAAAGGGTGATGGTTCAAACCCATCCAGAAGTACCTGAGAACGAAGTCCTGGCAATCTGTTTCTGAAAGGTTTCTTTGAAAACTCTATGAAGTGCATTTCTACTCTACACCTCCGCATACATGGGGGTCACCATGAGTCAGAATCAACTTGACAGCAACTGTTTATTTTATTTTTTATTTATTTTTTAAAATTTTATTTTGATTTGGGTGAAGATTTACAGAGCAAATTCACTTTTCATACAGCAGTTCACATATACTTTGTCTCATGTCATTGACCAAA